CTCGCGTCGGCCCTGCAGAACGGGCAGCTGCCCGGGCCCTGGCGGCGCCACGCCCCCGCGACGCGGAAGAACCTCGGCCAGTGGCTCGCGCACTTCCAGCGGCGGCACCGGCAGTACGCGGCGTGGGCCGCCGAGGGGGAGCCGCGGTGTTTGTGGCTCGCCGGCCTCGCCGTCCCGGAGTCCTACCTCACGGCGCTCGTCCAGGTCACCTGCCGGAAGTACCGATGGCCGCTGGACCGCTCCACCATCGTGACCAAGGTCACCGCCTTCCGCGCGCCCGAGGAGGTCCTCGATTACCCCGAGGACGGCGTCTACATCAGCGGGCTCTTTCTCGAGGGCGCCTGCTGGGACGCCGAGGCGAACGAGCTCGCCCCACAGCGAAAGAAGCAGCTGCTGGCGAGGATGCCGGTGATCCAGCTGATCCCGATGGAGTCCTCCCGGGTGAAGAACCTCGGGACGTTCCGGGCCCCCGTCTACGTCACCTCCGATCGCCGAAACGCGGCGGGGGTCGGGATGGTCTTTCAGGTGGACCTCCCCACACGCCAGCACCCTTCCATTTGGATCTTAGAGTCGGTTGCCCTGATTATCGACTCGGATGAGTAGCCTTAAGTGGGGCTAGGAGGGAGGGATGGGGGGGCAGACATTTCAAATATCTAGATTCCTCAGCGTAGATAATATTCCTATATCGATTATTTATTTTCTTTATCTTCGAAAAAATGTTGGCGAGAGGTCCCTTTAGAATGTAAATTGGTTATGTATATTGTAAAAAGTGATGTTCAAGCGACTCCAAGATTTTTCAGCTTGATGTATTAAAACTCTCTGTTCCTATATTTTAAGAGGGATGTCATTCCCCTCTTAATTGTAGAATTATAACAAAGCTTTGATTCCAATGACTGTTCAGATTTTATTCTGGCTAAAATGATTTTTGGCATTTTTCGAAGACTTTGTGTCTGAATTCCTCCTCTCTTGTCCGATTCTTCTTGAAGACAAAGCCGTAGTCTAGTCTTAAAAATCATGTTTGCACCAAAGTAATTACCGTAGCAGCGAAAGCTTCTTCTGTAACTCATAATTTGCGTGTGTGTCTCTTCCACACTCCTATAGCTTTATCAATAAAGGAATATTAGAATGCTTGAATGTGGTTGCCCTTCTCTTGGATAGAAATGGAGTATAGATTTGGGAGGTTAAACGTTTTATTCAATACAACATCAAGGTGCTGCCTACTGTGATTCCTCGTCTGGAATTTGCCACAATAGCATTAAAAGCTCCAACCCCTCTGAGCTAAAAGCATTTGTCAATCGAATAGTCTGATGTTTTTTAACCTAAAGAAAACGATGCGCATGGCAATTGTAAAGACTGAACTTATTTCCTTCAAAAGGTATTTAATATGGTGTAGCATATTCATTATTGTATATTATCCTGGGGTTAGGGTTTAATGCGACTTATTTCAGGGACAAGACTGCGATGTCCACGAAATTAGTTTATTGTTATTGTTATTATAATTTTATATATTTTGAGCGTTAAGGAGCAAGGTGCTACCTAACAAAATCAAAAAAAGCCAAAGGCGTCATTGTTGATGTCGGGAACCACAATATATATATTAATGATCTTCACGTGCTTTAAACCATGTGATTGAATGAAACGGTGCCCATTATTATCATATTCTTAAGGGATAACCATTTTCAGCAATATCACGCTACGCTTTATTTCATGGGAAAAAGTATAATATGGACTCAATAACATTTTTCATTTGAAACTGATGAAATGGATGTATCTATTCATCAAATTGCATATATATTGTGAATAAAGACGCATATACGATGTTAATTTAAAATATACAATCTAGATTTATTCCATAATGAAATGTCTTTGCGCTGAGTAACATGGCAATACCTTAATAATTAAAAGAAGTATTTCAGTTAGTCTGTTTATTATCTTAATTCAGATAATTTTTAATAGATAGCTTTTCTTTAAGGATTTAATTCTTGAAGGCTGTTGGGTTGTTTTATCTTAGTTTTCTATAACAAATCCTGATTTGCCTTCTTGTTTTAAAAAGAAGTAGTTTGCACCTTATTCATACGCAGCTCTTAATTATATATTTATATAGAGAGATACTCAAATATTTAGATAGCAAAGATTCCTTTCCTAGTGCAAATACACTTCATATTGTACTTTTCTTAATAGGCATAGTATTTTCAAACACCCAATAGAAGCACTCATAAAGATATATAGTATATATTTCCTAGGACTAATTATGTCTATTGCTAATTATCGTTCACTCATTCATTATATTGATCGACAACATGTTGGTTCGCTTGAGCAGTTTTTAGCGATTCCGCTCACGCCAATGGTGCTGTCAAAAATGAATCATTTCGAGGATCGAGGGGAGTTCATCACGCGGAGTTTGGAGCAGCTCGTGGCGCGTACTTCGCGCTGCTACGAGGCCTTTTCCTACCCGATTATGTCCCATAGCCTCCGTTTACACAACGCCGAGAACCTGAAATGGGTCCAGAAGAAAAGCCTACGTGAGCTAAAGCAATGTTTAGTACTGCAGGAGTTAGTCAAGGGGTACATTTC